AACTGCAAAGCAAAACGGTCATAAAAGTATGTACCATGTTTGCTAACTTATTTAGTGACATGTTCAATTCGTTCTCTGTCGCTCGGCGGCTAATTTACTCGGTATTTGTAACATCAATTATAGACCGTTTCTTTTCATATCAGTTAACCTTTTATCACCATGTATGGTTGCCAATCGTTTGGGACCAAATGTGGTGTGAGGGCCCATAAATGTTGCTAAATATTTTGTGTTTGTGTATGTATGTGCGCAAATGCTTACATGAGACCATGACAACGGGGACAGATAATGAACATACTTTTAAGGTTTAGGCCAACTGAGGACAACCACGATTCAGGCTGTTCGCTTGAAACATTGTGGTGCTCCTATTGTTCAAGCCTTTCATTCAGGCTAGGATGCGATAGGCATTGAGTGCTAAAATCGATTTAATTTTGGTCTCATCATGTTCCAGTCAACTCCGGGTTCTAGACGAAACTGTTCCAAATGTTCATTCTTCACAATCTTAGATTGTGCAATTTATGTTAGACTTATTATCCAGTGATTGTTGGGAGGGAATTCATCAAACACCAACTTTTCTATTCCTATCCATATAAATCATTATTAATCTACAAAATGACTAACCAACTTAGAGGTTTGCCAACTGGTTAAATCCATCATTCATACTTACCGAAATGATCAAAAGCATCTGCTCTGATCGATGCAGTGCACCGAAAATCAAGGATGAATTCTACGACGATCTTTCTCAACTACTCCTGTGTTCGATCAATGGACATCGTAGTAGTCGCCGGGGACCTCAATCAGAAAGGCTTCTTGGTGGTCCATATACAATGCCAGCTAACCGGACGGACAACGGAGATTGCATACTTCAACTCTGCGTGGGCCACAGATTGTTCCCGTCAAGCATCAACTTCTCTCACAAGAAACGACACCGCGTTATTTGGAAACGGCCAACCTCTTCACAGTGGTGGACACAAATCGACCACATCGCCATCAGTTACTGATGGGCGGGTGTTAATTTAAGACTGCCGCTCCCACTGGTCAACGCTTTTTTACGAGCTAAATTATCCTTACGACTCGAAAGCAACCGCAATAACGCCACCGGAGACGGATAATCCCGATACAATGCCAGTGATAATTTGAAAGCGGCCTTCAAAGCGGAGCTCTCTGATCGCTCATCAGTTCAACTACCAGCCGAAGAACTCAGTACACACTAGAAGCAAATCTAGGAAATTAGGCAAATATCGATAACAACAATGTATCCGATGTGGCAGACGGACGAGCAAAGCTGAGTTTAGGCGTAGAGTTTTAGGTAATCTTGGTGGCCCAGTTTAGCAAGTGGTCGGCCTCCATGGGTGACGCCCGTTGGGGCATATATTAAGCAGACCACCAAACAGACTGCCACTGCGCGCAATATTTGCTTAGACAGGTAAAGGGTGTAAAAAGCTAAGGATAGTCAAACTAAGACCTGGCATGAGGGTATGAAAACTCGAACCAGTAGACTCGGTCATATAGGTCGCGTTAGACTCCCTTTATGGGGACGTCGAGAGGGTTGCAACCGTTGGTTAGAGACACTGAGTGATATGGCTGTATCGTAAACAGTTGCGCTTGCACGTCGTCTCAAGTTCTTTGCAATCTCAGTCAACCGAAATTCTCTATTTCCTCTTCAATTCCGCTTCCAGCTTTCCAATATTTATTCCACTTCTTCATCTAAATGAGTAATCAAAAGACAACCACCAAAACCGGCGCAAGAAAGTGCGCGGTTAATGGTTGTACAAATTGATGCCGAAACTGAGACAGCTTTATTCTCTTTAACTGATCTGGCTGACATGAGGTCTCCTAAGCCGCATAAAGGTGCATGGTTAGTGGTTTTAAATCTCAAAAGAACTGAAACTGAGATGCGGATGATGATTAATTGTATGCGTACGACCATCGATATGTTTGAAACATCGCTCGGGTCTGACGCGGGGAGGGAGGGGGGATGTTGTAATCTGATTAATTAATTATCTAATATACCCCGGATGAAAATGAATGGTTATTGTTGTGAAAACTGAGATTAAAAGTCACAATTAACTTTCTTATTTTACAGTGCAAATTAAAAATGTTTTCTTACTGAAACATAGGTAAATATTCCCATCCAAGCACATTAGATTTGGCCGCTTCTGCGTAGTTGATTGCTCTGTTTGTTCATCAACTCGGTTACTTTGCTCTAGGTTACTCCCAAACAATATTCATGAAGCTATTCATTTATTTATTTATGAAGTTGTATTACCTAGAGTTTTCGTAAGCATATGCGGTACTGACTCTGCACTTTCTTGTTTGCCTTTTGACAGAACAGCCAGAATCCTGAGCCTACTCATCCCTACATTATTCTCACCTAGGCAACATCTGTACCTAGCTTGAAGCTCTTCAAGTGACTGATAAGACGATGCTAGTTTGTTCAAAGTCAGATCAATGTTTGTGAACGGAAAACGAATAATGATATCTGAACTTTACAACATTCACCGATCCTGTGTTTGTGGCACCGCATGTTTCCAATTGTCACACTTCGTTCTGTTTCTCAATCCACCCTTCCCTTGCTTCTGTTATTATTGTTGTGGTGTTGACACCATGGTTGTTCGCAAGCCGATGATATATATATATATATATGTATATGTGCACCCATACACACAGTTAGAACAAAAGATTGTCCTGAGTATTTTGGTGGTGTGCAAAAGGAATCGGACAAGAAGGATAAAAGCCCAGGCAAAATTGGCACAGAAATCCAGTCACAACCTCTTCGATGTTTACAGTATTCGAAAACATTGCGCGGTAGGAAAATACCATTCAAGGATAAGATAAATCGGACAATTGTCGTTTGTTAATCCCTAGTTTGGCCTGCCTGACCGAAGGTTAGTCCGATTATTGAAGGGGTTAAAACCTTAGTGTAAGATTCACGAAGGAGAAGTTGGAGAGTTAAAGTTGGTCTTGTCTTAGATGGAGAGATAAGCGTGTTACAAACATATACACTTGAGGTAATAAGTTGCATTTGTTTTGTCTCTACTTTCTCAAGATAATAATGACCGAATAAATCACATTTTTGCCGTGAAGTCGCTCAGTGCTGTCCTGGATAAAATCCTTATCTTTCTTTGCGTTTAGTTTAAAGGCCTGCACATCTTACCTCAGTTGATTTATACCTCTCTCAATTTCTTCTCATGCTTGTTTCTGAAAGATATTTCACTGCTTTCTGGATTTCATAACCATGGATCTATTTAAAGACATCGGTTGACTTCCTATTCACTTTATTTATTATTTATTTATTGTTTCCCAACAATTAGATACACGCCAAATGGCTTTTGAGCTAAATAACAGTTGACCGTTCTAATTTCAATCGTTGGCTGAAACATCCGGTTAGTACACGAAATATAGCTTATCTTGGCTGCATATCAGTGCGTTTCTCTGTAAACGCGAGCTAATCCATCAGAAATTGATCTCATGATCAAAAGAGCCTTTGTCTACAATACCATTATTATTTTTTTGCACTTTTTGATTAACAGTCATTGAGCATTCAACTTCGGGAACTATATTTGACAAAAGATAAATGATGCATAAAAATTAAATGGAATAACTGAAAGAAGAGCTGAAACCACAATTAAGCATTTTAAGTTTTAGCTTTTGTTCTCACAAATCAATGTGAACGAAGCAAATTATGGATTCCATCAGTTGGTTTTTCATGGTTAATTTATTGAATGAAGTTATTGTAACTTTTCAGGCAAAAACCTAGACTCATGCAAACCGGTATGAATAAGTAAAAAAAATTGAAGTTCTAATCTAGAAATAGGAAAATAAATTATTTTTACTCATGAAGAACTGACCTTAAGTGTTAAAAAACTCCTCCATGTTCTTTTGTCCTACTGACCTTGTTTTTCCAGTCAAAAAGACCATGTCGTACACACGTTGTTGCCATGACAACAATTCCTTCAATTGTCATTTCTGAAGTAAGAATCAGACTGATAAGTTAATGGTTACCTATTCGATGCTTCGTGTAGTCCTTATAAAGTTATTTTAAAAAGAATCCAGAACAGCTATATATATGGGCTTGTAGCATACGAATCTGCACATCCAAAACCGAAAGTGAATACTGCGCAATGAATAGGCCTCAGATCAGTAGTTCTCGATATTAATTTCTACGTTTACTTTTGGTATTTTGTGAAATCAGTTGTTTTTAAGTATGTATACTACTAGAAATCCACTTTGCTGTCTTTCCGTGTGTAACTGTGCGTTAGCCTGAGCAAGGCTCATTTCAACTGTCCCCACTCCTCCCCCACCTTACGATTCTTTGAAATAAAAGAAGGCAATATGAGTTCATTTGGTCGGAGAAAAAGTGAAACTCCACACTACCATAGGCTCCCAAAACCACCAGTACCAGCCGCAGTAACGTCATTAATGACAAACAATTTCACGAAACACAGTAGATAAACAATGAGTATGATTGTATGATGGTGTCTGAATCCACCCGAATTGATGATGCGGAAACCCATATCTCATTTGCTTGATTCAATTCAGCGTGGATTTTGTGCCGCACCCGTTAAGTACGCAAACATCGTGCAAGAAAGAGATCGCCTACGAATCACCCACGGTTGCATTCGATGGCCTGTCCACCTATACGAAAGAGTTTACCCGTAAGTACAACCAATTTTTGCCGGTTTTGTGTCCAAATTATGTTTAGTACATAATGAACGGAGTCAGCCAACGGAAGACAGCCAACTGTTCCATTTGTGTATTTTGTACTGCCACACTTTAATATTGTTTCCTGTTTGAGGATAAGTTGTTCTCCACGGTCGCGCTCGAGGTGTACTGTGAAACATAGCATAATCGGATTTTCGTATATGGATGAAAACAGCAAGAGGTTCATTTGGTTTATAAAGAAAGGACGGGATCGGAAAATGCACCAGGTACAATATTTTGCTTACCTTAGTTTGTCGCTAGCAATTTTTCGTAGC